GCGATCTGATTGCATATTCTGGTTGTCCAGTTCATTACGAAAATTTGCATACTACTTAGAAAGTGGCGACGGACTTGTAAGTATTTATTATTAATTTTTTAAATTTAGTGTTCAGTATTTCGTTCATTTTTTGTTATTCTGTTTTTGTGCGCCATCTATTGGTCAACGACTGAATTGTCTGATATTGTGTATTTTAGACGTTTTTGGGAACCCTGCACAGTCTTATCAAATATTGCTAGCGGAACATACGTTGTAGTAAGTACTTACAACTTACAAGTTACAAGCACAAAATCTTGAACTCAATTCTATGCAAAAACATTTTGAACTGCAGACGATAATGACTTGAATATTTTGTTTTTTTCAAAGTTCTTCCACTTTTAACTTTGTGTAAGCAATCAATATGAAATCCATACATTTGTGTCGTATACTTTAAATGTACCCTTTTCATTAAAAGTGATCTTATTTCAATTTCAGTCTTAAAATGTCTGACGAGGAAAACGATCGTTTTGAAGAAGAACAAAGTTTGTTAACTAGCAATTTTGAAACTATACCGCATACACCAAGTGCTTGGGAAGAAGATATATATGATGTTGATGAAGATCCAGACCCCCATGGTAATTATATTAACAATAATGCTTCAACCTGTTTATTAGTTAGAAAAATGGTTGGTGTAAACAATTCTTTGTTACAATAGATGGTTATTTTTTCTTTTGTACATTAAAAATTTATTTAATACTGTGAAAGCAGTGTCAAAAATAAATCCACATTATGTTTCAAACCAAATAAGTTACTACATTTTTGAATTATTGTTATTATATACTTTAATATAAGTTTATATATAATTAGCTAGCCCAGAAAGGGAAATTTTATGGGCGGCTGAACAAGGTGAATTGGATTTGGTCAAATCTTTGGTGTCAAAACATACCCACTTGGTTCATATTCATGACAGAGATGGTTATACAGCTTTACACAGAGCATGTTATAGTAACCATCTATCAATTGTTGAGGTATTTTAAGATAAATTTATTATATTTATTAAGCTTTCATTTTATTTACCTACACTTGTAGTTTTTATTAGAAAATCATGCAAATCCAAATGCTCGGACAGCTGATCAATGGACCCCATTGCATTCTGCTTGTAAATGGAATAATGTAGAATGTGCTGAAAAATTAATAGAAGCCGGAACTGACATAAACGCTTTAACTAATGGTGGTAATGTTTAATTACAAATATCAAAATATGAATTTATACACATATATCTATTTTTAATTACATTATATTTATAAATATTTTATTTTTATAGGAATAACACCTCTACATTTAGTAGCAGAGTTAGCTGATTCACATAGTCTCATTGAACTATTATTATGTCAACCTGGTATTCAGCCTGATATAAAACTACCAAACGGTACAGGCGATACACCAAAAGATATTACTAGTCGGAAGAGCACAAATGATCGACTTTTTGAATACTCTGAACCGTGTTTCAATTACATATGAAGTGAATAATAGTTATTCAGACCAAAGACTAATACAAGGCCCACATGATGCGACTAGTACTTTTTTACTGGGGTGTGTACTAATTGAATTGATGGACTGCGTGTATGAAATATTGTCATTAGGTCTTAACTTCTCTATAAGTTTTGCACTGACAAAGTCCCAACACCACAGATGTCCACAGGTTGATCCACTTATTATTATGCTATCATTATGAAATACACAGTTTTCAATAAAATAATCACCGACTGTATGACCTGTGTACCTGTTTAACATTAATATATAAATTATAATACATAATATCATGTGTAAATAATTAAAATCTTAAACAAAATGGCATACTCATTCAATAATTCTCCTTTTTGTCTATCCATTAACTTCAATGTACTGTCTGTACAGCTAACTAAAGTGCACATATTGTCTTGTGTTGAACTAATACATGATATTGGCTCTACAAACATAACAATGTTATAAGCTCTGTTAAATTTTTTAATATAAATTATAAAGATAATATTAGTTACTCACTTCCAATAAAATCAGCATCTAAATTTCCCATTCTTATGTCATAAGTTCTTAAAAAACAATCCAAGGAACCCGTTAGAATTTGATGGCCTATCACTAATACTTTAGTAATACTGTCTTTGGCTTCTTTTAAAACCTACAATTGTGTATATACAAATATATCATAATTAAAATATGGACCTTTTAACAATTTTAAACATATTATTTATTCTCTAATTACCTATTCAATAACTGAGGATAATACAATAAAGATTTTATAAGTTATAACGAAAATAAGTATTTTCTTATAATTTGTGAAAAATGTATAGATTCGTTGGAACTAATGCTTATTCTTAAAATTTTAGTTTTTGATGTAATTATTAAAACTATAAGAAAATTAACTTACCTATTTATTAATTTTTTATGAGATTAAAATAATAAGATATTAATTTAGTTACCTACTTCAAGTGTAAATATATAACAATATGGTTAAAAAAATAACATAAAACTATCAGCAAAAAGTTATGTATGTAAATAAATAAATATATTATATACTTGTATTGGGCTATTGTTACGACTTCTAGTATCCCAACAACAAACAGTGTTATCATTTGATCCTGACACCACAACTGAAGAATCTTCGTTATATTCAACACAATTCACCGCAGCGGCATGCTGCCGTAATCTGCGTTTCACTCTCCCATCTGACACATCCCATAGTACAACTGATTTATCAGCTCCACATGATGCTAATTCACTTGAAAAAAAATTATAAATAAGCACAAACATTTTCATCGAGATTATATGCAAATTTAGGCACCTGCTATCACATGATCCACATGCATCCATTACACAGTCTCCATGACCAGCGTAGGTTTTCAAACATAATTCCTTGAATGGATTCCAGAGTTTAATTTTCTTGTCACTACCACAAGTAAGGCAATATTCACCATCCACTAAATACAAAACGACAGTCAGCTACACAAAATCACACGCATAATCTCAATAATATACTTTAGTACTTTACCATTAAACCTGACAGAGCGTATCGCTCCTTGGTCACATTTAATATTCGATACACATTTCAAATCCATTTCGTAAGTTTTTGAAATTAACTGAAATGAATAACCGAAAACACGGAAACTTCGACAACTGATCAAATATCAAATTAGTTTGTATTTTGTAAACACAACAGAATTTTTACCGGATGCAATATGAGATAAGTTGATGACATGCTTATCAAAAGTAGATAATAATATTATTATTATTGTTATTTGTTTGTTGTGGTTGCTACAACTACTACCACGGGCTAATATTAAAGTAATAGGGCAGGGGCAGCTAACCTTTTTTGAGTCAAGTGCTACAACTTAAAATCAAGTATTTTGAAATATACTCGCGTGCCAAAAAAAAAAAATGAATTTTACTAGGTAAGATGAAAACAAAAAGCATGCAATAATTACACATATTTTATTAGGTACACATTTATTTGTAAACTTTTATTTCATATATTAATTTGATGCGTGCCACTGAAATTTGGTCAACGTGCCATAGGTTCGCCACCCCTGTAATAGGGTAATAGGTAATAGCGATTAGCGACCGACAATACTGTTAATTTCATAAATAAAATCCTAATAGAGTAAAATACGCTGCCAGTCGTCCACACCCGTATATAACGTCGCAGCCCCGCACACACATTTTTTATTTTTTTCAAAATATTTTTTTATTTTTGTAATTTTTAAATATTAATGTACCACATGTTCACATAACGGAGCATACATTGAACTATATAAAAACAGTTGAAGGTTGCTCATTAAAATAAAATCCATTATAATATTTGTGTTCAACAATACTCAAATCTATAATATTATCCTGGACCTGGATGTATGACATACATCGGCAAGTCTAAAATATACACATATATAACTTATTTAATAAAAATAAACAGTCGATGTGAAAGAAATAGCTGTGCATGTGAATTATCTATTTGCTAATTTGATATAATTCACATAATTAAATTAATTTACATGACATAAGTATATGTGACTAATATCTAATTACCAATATGAGCAATCTACCGTTCGATCAAGCGGCTATTCGATTAAAAACCTCACCAATTTATATAATTTATATAAATTGTAATAAAGCGTTTAATAACCTTATGATAACCGAGAAAAAAAGGTAAACACAATGAAATATATTGTAGTTCATTGAATTTATTCAAAAAAGAACATGTATACATGCATATTTATAGTCGTATATAAGCTTTATCCAGCATTATTATGGCATCCCAACCAGATGTTTTTGATTCTACTTGATTCTCAATATCCTCAATCATTTTCAGTACCAACTGATTCCGGTAATTAGCTTTAATATTTCTAATAACGCCCTGGTCCGTCGGTTGAAGTACAGCAGTAGTTTTGGTGGGCAATATTTTCAAATATTCTCAAAATATTTTTTTTTTCAAATTTTTAAGGCCTCAGATCTGATTTTCCTGACAACATCATCTGATTTAATGCCTTGCAAATTTTTCACAATTCGACTGAGTGGGTGATGCCATGTAAATAGTGTCTGACCTAAAGGAAAACGCTTTAGTTTTTTAAGCGTTTTTTTGTTCAAGTCTCGCTGAAACCCTTTTATGTGGTTCGTGAGACCTTTATAATTTGAATTGCGATGGTAATTTAAACCAAAACTATACACATTTGCCACAAAAATTCCATTATCAGGATGAACTTTAATTCTAAAAGTCTTACACCCCTCGTGGCTACAATATATGTACACATTGCAATAGTTGATATAATATAAAACTCTTTTTGCATTAAAAACACATGTATTGTTCACAGTTCTTATGCGCTTTCTGAACATAATAGGTTATTTAACATGTGTATACAACATATGGGACCACTCTTCATATGAACATTTGAAAATTTCTGAAAAAAACTGACATTCATCACTGTCGAATCGTTTTGGAAAATAATTTTTCATTTCCAAAGGTAGCACAAGATCAGACTTAACAGGAGTTTTCTTAAAATATGAATTTCTAAGGGGACTTGGCACAAGTCTAACAGTTTTTCTGCATTCTAATTTACTTGGTGCAACAAGATCAGATTCAACACTTATGTTTTCAGGTAGAATTGGAGTACTACTAGGTATTAGTGGATCCCTTATCATCTAACTATAATCACTTTGGGGCGTTACACTCGTATATTCAAGGGAAACAGTCTTTTTGCACAAGTTCAGACTCTGGTGATATTGACGCCAATAGAATTTATTTATAAGCTTTTAAAATAATTTACAAAAATTATTGTGCGACATAGAGCGACATCTACTTCGTAAAGAAACCGTAGTTTCGGTGTTATAGTACGGCAACCCTGAAATAAAATGAAATGCAACTCAACGTACAAAGTTTCTTATCACTAATCGTCCGAGATATAGTTCCATATAGCTTCTTACCTATCACAACTTCACACACGTTGATTGTTCTGTTCTTAAATCGTAGGTCTCGTACTACAATATGCATATTGTGTTTCCCTAATACCTATTACAAATAATACAGTAGTGGGTAGAATAAATAAAAATAGGCACATACTACATACAAAAATATTAAATGACTGAATCATTAGACAAATCAAAAAGAAAACAATTTGGTAACAGGCTTTTAAAAAACGATGAAGACGTTTTTAAACACAATGCTTGGTAAGAATTATTAAAAATTTTAACGAAACCATTGGCTATAAGTTTTAATATTAACCACTAAATTCATTTTACTTACATTCATATTTACAATGAAATTAAACACTATTTTCAATTAATGTTAGTATGTAACTAACATAATAAAATTCATCACTGAAGTAAAGTCAATCAACTATAATCTATATCTATATGTATAGGGATAATGTGGAATGGAATGAAGAACAAGAAATTCAAGCTATATCAGAAGTATGTGCGCATGTGAAAACAAAAATGCCTTCAGAAAAAGCTGCTGATTTAGAAGACAATGCTGATGAATATTGGAATAAGTTTTATTCTGTCCATCAAGAAAAGTATGTAATATTAATATAGATACCTATTACTATTCTTCTGATCACCCTAAGATGGATGGTTGATATAATTTTAATAATAATTTTATAAATTGTTAGTCTACCTATTATTTTGTTTAATATTAAAAGACTTAATACAATTTAAATATCTTCACATTTTTTTTTTATGTTAATATTTTAATTCCATCTTCAAATGTGCCTTGAACTCATCTATATGTTCACCATATTTTGTAATATTATTTTTAAATATCAGTATCTACGCTTATTTTATGTAAGACAACAATTGTTCTTATAATTACCAAATTTTGAGTTATATAGTTAATTTAACCACTTTTGTTAAGTGCTAAAATACACCAGTGTAAATATTGGCATAATCACAGATTGCTTATTGATTTTAAAATTGATAAATTTTTTTAGTTAATAATTATAATACATTTTTTAGATTTTATTATTTATTATTTATTTACTTAATATACTATGTGTTTTGGCTGTTTTGAGTTGATCTTGTATTTGTATTTTAGGTTTTCAATCTATTTTATATTAAATATTTTATTTTTAGATTTTTTAAGAACAGATGTTGGTTGTTCACTGAGTTTCCTGAAATAACTTCTCTTAAAAATGAAAAACCAACTTTTATACTAGAAGTAGGATGTGGCGTTGGAAATTCGGTCTTCCCTATATTATCACACTGTATAGACAGCAATGTACATGTATACTGTTGCGATTTTTCTTCAAATGCCATACAAATCTTAAAAGGAAATTCAGAATACAACGAAGAACACTGTACAGCATTTGTATGCGATATAACTAGTGATGAATGGAATCCACCATTTGCTTTAGAGAGTTTAGATGTTATATTATTGGTTTTTGTTCTTTCCGCCATACAACCCGAAAAGTATGATATAATGTTTATAGAGCTAAAGAAAAATTCAACATTTGTTTAAATTTGAAATCTATTGTGTTGCAGATTAAAACATGTAGTAAGCATGTTTTATAAGTACTTGAAACCAGGAGGTATAGTATTATTTCGCGATTATGGAAGATATGACATGGCACAGTTAAGGTTTAAAGAAGGAAGATGCATATCAGAAAATTATTATAGTAGAGGTGATGGAACGTTGGTACACTTCTTTACTCAAGGTATAGTTACAATGAATAAACTGCGGGGAATGTCATTTAAGTCAATTTTTAACAACCACCTGGGTAAACTAAGATTTAAATTTTTAAACACTATCTGGATAGAAACCAAAATATTAAAATGTATTTTGGTTTCAATTACTGTTGCATAATTATTATTTCACTGACAATTAGTTATTGGAGTATGAACCAGTTAAAAAAAACTTTGGTTTTGCTGTCTTAATTGCTTTATAAATATTTTCTGATTTCTACCATTTTTAAAGTTATACTTATAGCTTATTGTAATTTGTTAAATTTAATTATTATGTATTTATAATAATTTTCTTATTTTTTTAGATGATGTCCAACAATTATTTTTGGAAGCTGGTTTTGAACAAGTTCAAAATATTGTCGATCGTCGTATGCAAGTAAATAGAGGTAAACAGTTAAAAATGTATCGTGTTTGGATTCAATGTAAATATAAGAAACCTATTTTATAATAATTACCTAACTAAAAGATGTATATAAAATAATTGTATCTTATATAAATTAATATTTATTGAATGTAACATGCCAGATGTCAATGGTTAACATCCATTGCCATTTTAACATTTTCAAAAATATTGACTTTTTACTATTTTTATTTTTGTTCATATTTATCATGCTAAATATTATAAGCACAGAAATATAATTCCTGATTAAACTTTTCAAAATGTACAAACATTCAAATGCTTCATGAAATATTCTTAACCTAATTTTGACTTCAGCGTAAAAGATAACAGCCACAGTGAATCGTACCCACGTTTCTCCTCTCCAGTTACATGGTCTGAGTCCAGTGCAAAATATATTAATGCATTTTAATGACTAACTGCAAGTTATATGCCAAAATTTAAAAATAAAATATATGTGAAGACAGTTCTGGAATATAAATTGTGAATTTTTTATTACCTAATTGTGTCTTATCATAGTACACAGAGTAGCTGAATAATGATATCCATCATCTCTAATAATAAAATGATAGAATAATAATTTTGCCTATTTTTTTAAAATCTTTAAATTGATCATTTAGTTTGCCGCTAATGGTTGGGAGCACTGGTGATTTCCCATGCATAGCCCAAGAAGAAATCTAAAGTAAAAATAGCTGCTTGAAAAAATGATGTGCATTATTTTATTATTACTCTAAAGTCTAAACAATAATTTCAAGCATTATGTATCTTACATAAAGGACCCGTATCTTCCAATTTTAAAACACAATATACATAAATTATATGTATTATGGAGGTTATAAACTTTTTTAGCAGTCAAATTACACCATACAATTGTACAGTGGTATGTCATTATGTAACAACTGAAGCTATAATCATACAGTAAAACCTCCTATGAGATAGAAAATAACAATCATGTGTTATATTTTAGCATTCCTTAATGGAAAGATAAGTTTGTCCCAAGCATAAACCTTATACTACTAGATAAGAACTGTGTATAACAACATTATGAGCGGTGTAACAACATCTCACAGTGATGTAGGTTGTCTTTAAGACAATATACAATAATTTAAATATCTATACATCTTGCCCTAATACCCTGCGTCCGAGTAATTAAAAAGAACCCTCAATGTTGTTACAGTTTCCACCACAGATTTCCATATTAAATAATATAATATAGGTAACTGTGCTTTCCATACAATCATTGTTTGTCTAGCAGTATAAGGTTAGGTCCTCAGTGATTATTTTAAAAAGAGGTTTTACAGTAATAACTAATAATACAAAATATGGTTCAAATACATGGGAAAACCAAATTTCAAAGATATAATATAGACAATAGTGTACAAAATAAAATTTAAATCAGTACATTTTATTTTAAATAAAGAGGTATATTATATGAATTATAATCTATAATAAAATAATTGAATTGACACTTACAATAATATAAATTGGAAAAATATTTTGACAATATAGCAGTTATATTTTTAAGCATTGCAAATTTTTTTTTATATTATTTATAAATATATATTATCATATAGTGAAGTAATATTTCTTTTAAATAGGCCTTGATTAATGAATATTTTTAATTGTTAAGCCTTGATTGTCACCAAAGTGTTCAAATTTATAGCCATGTTAATAAATTTAATCTATTCTCAATTTCTTCTTTTTGTTTTTTATAATAATTTTATTTTAGAACAGTACTGCTGCAATACATTTAAATGTAACTTTACATAAATAAATACCAGCAAATCAATTTGAACTAGTGAACTTTTAATTCAATCAATGACAAATTATCTAGAAAATAAATTAGGTACGGTTACAATAAATTTACCTACTATGTGTTTTGTGATGGTTATTTTAGTTTAGTATTTGATATTATAATTATACAAAATTAATAAAACAAAAATATAAGGCTACAGTAACTGATAATACAACTTAATTACACTAACATTTTGCAAAAATTAATTTGTATTATTTTTAAAAGTTTAACAACATTGACATATTCATTATGTCCCTGTAGTTAGTGAAACTAGTATTTTTTAATATAAATGTCAATTAAAAACAAAAAATACTTTTTTAGTTTATTAAGAAATCTTCACTAAAATATATACACTTAGTAGGAGTCAATGTTCTTAAACAGTAACCAGACAACCAATACTTAAATATAATAATGGAATATAATAATTAGATGTATTTGAGTTTGAACAGCAAAATAATAACTCAATTAAAATAAAATACACGATTACATGAATTTAAAACACAATTGGTATGCACACGAGAAGAGAATTTTGCAAAAAACATTAATTATCACAGTAGTGGGTACAAAACTAGAAACAAAGTATTACTTCTTTTTATATCTTAAATTATATTTTGGGCCCAATTTTGGCGGAACTTGTGTATAAAATGTGTCTTAAAAGGCACTATGTGGACTTTTGTCAAATAAGTTCTATCTATTACAAGTTTACTAAAAGCCAAACTATGTAAAATACAATACATACACAAATTAATTTATAAAATTACGTTTACTCAAATATATCAATTTAATTTACCTCTAGTTTATTATTTATGTTCAGTGTCATTTTGGTCATTAAATTATTCATTGCTTATAATAAAACGTTGACCTATGTGACTTTAATAGATTTACTTAACGACCATTCAGGTAGAAGAAAATAGAACTCTTAACTCAACCACACAAATCTGATGATATACAACAATCATACTACTTACACTACAAATATTTGTAGTAGTTGGGTATGTAACTTAATTCAAAACTAGATTTGTGTGCAAAATGATTACCCTCCACAAGGTTAATTAAAACTGACAGAAACAAATTGAAATCCAAGTCATCACAAATTTTGTAGGATAAAAAAAACTGCCATATTATGGTTTTAATGTTACTCAATTTGTTTTAAAATATCAACAATAATAATAATAATAGTAATAATAATAAATAATAATAATATGTCACTTTACTGTTTTATTATTTTGTCTGGCAAGCAAAAACTCCAGTCAAAAATTATTAAAAAATTGTTGGAAGCTTGTCTTAACTATCGGAAAAATAAATCCTCAAGATAATGTGAAACCAAATTAATTACAACTGATTGGGTAGTAAGTTGATTGAAACTAAATAAATCTTGATTTTAATTAAGTACCTACGGACTGTGTACTCAGAAACAAAATTAAAAAATACTATCAAGGGTCATTCATTGTGTACATGAATGCACCATCATTTTCCATTGCAGCCATTATTTCACTAATATAAGAAGCTACATCTACGCTTTCAGCATCACTTCGTTTTATGAATACGTGTTCTAGTAATTTGTTGTACTTAGGCCTTTGATTTTCTTCTTTTATCAAACTACAAATGACAATTTCATACATGTTAATACAATTGCTCAATGCTATCAACTTAGATGTATGTTAAATTACCAAGTATTTACGAAATTCACAAAATTAGGAGAAAAATTGTTAGTAGCCTGCAATCTTGGTGGATCTCCTTGAACAACCTGACACAATTGTTCAAACACAGAACTCCATCTTGGATATGGAAACCGCCCAGTAGCAACTTCTACTAGCGTGATACCTAAGGACCAAACATCTGAACGGACATCATAACCTCCTCGACCACGAACTGGATCAATTCTTTCCGGCTAAAATTAAATTGAATTACACAACAAACTATTTTTAAATAAATATTCTGAATAAAACTTACAGCCATATAAGGGCGGCAACCAGCATCTCTAGTTTTTGCTATAGAATCCACTAACTGCCCTGAGATACCAAAATCACAGAGTTTAATATTTCCTCGAGAATCCAATAAAATGTTGCTGGGCTTAACATCACGGTGAATAATTTTCAATTTTTCTTTAAGGTAATTCAATGCTTTTACAGTCTGAAATATTAAAGAAATTTAACATCAATATATTCAATTTTCAATGAAATTAATTCTATAGAGTAACATAAGTTGTATGCCAGATTTTTTAATGAATGGGTCAAATATTTTTATTTTTAAAGATAATTTAGAATTATTAAGTATTCAACTATACTAAAAACAAAAGAAAATTCAATTATTATTAAGTAATAATGATTTGATTTTAATCATATATTTTGGTACGCTACATTATGTTGTAACTCTCAAAGTAAAGTAAACTTATTTAAGAGTTGTAATTCAATATTTATTTGTATGGGCTTATATTCTAAAAATGAAAACATTTATTAAAACAATTTAAAACAAAATATTTTACACATTTTTCATTTTCTTGAAAATCCATTTTGTTAACACATTATCATAAAAAAAACAATTACCGCAACAGTTATTTTTCCCAATATATTTTCTGGAATTCGTTGATTTAATTTTTCATAGACATATTTATAGAATTTATCCAATGAAGTATCCATAAGTTCCATACAAATCCAACAATCCCCCTGTTTTTAAAACAATACATAATATTAGTTCATATTTAAATTTAAACTATTTAAAATTACTTCTTTGAAAAGAGCTCCATAAAATTGTACAATATATGGGCATTCATTAGATTTCATTACAACATCCAAATCCATTAGTAATTGTTTTTGTTCATTTTCATCAACAGTTGATCTTATCCTCTAGTAATAAAACAAATTAATATAATTAAAATTATTAAAATTGAAAAAATGTAAATTTAGGTACGGGAGGGTAAAAGTACTAATAATAGTTGACAAGGATTGTATTACTAAAATTGGTATCCCCCTGCTTGCAGTCTACACATGTCTATATTTATATTTTAGAACATAAGTGAACTATTTTAATAGATTAGAATACCTTAACAGCCATTACTGTATCACTACTACGATGTAACATTTTGTTCACAGTTCCAAAACCACCTCGTCCAATCTCTCCTAAATCTTGTAAATCATCTGATGTAAAATCATACACCTAAAAAATAAAATTGTAAAAAGTAATAAATATGCAAGTATTGTATTTAATTAATTTAAAAAAAAACAACCTTGTTTTCAGAAAGTTGTAGTTTTCCAGTGGATTGTATGGTTTGACACATTTTTAGTCTTTCTCTAAAAATATAAAACAATAAATGATAACAATGTTTTGAAATGTTAATGTAAAACTATTAATTTTCAAAATTTAAATAAAGAACAGTGAATAGTGATTCTCAATAAGCTCAAATGCCAAGTAAATGTTTTAGTAATATTATTCAATTATGCACTAAATTGACTCAATTATTTAACCAGACAAACAGCCTTAGAGCAGAGATATAGGAAGGGTCAATCATTTTGAAAAGGTAAACATTCCTTAGTTATTTAATAAACATTTATTTTGAATAATATTATATTGTTACTTAATGTAATTAATATAAAGCTAATAATAATGAAATATCTTTGAAATAATTGTTATTACTTATTGGTATGAAACTTTAAAAAATACTTCTATTTGAATAATAAATTGTAATTATTTTTATAATTCCTTTAAAATAATAAGTAAATTCACATAATCTATTCAACTTATTAGTTTTAACTGGGGTTTTGCGGCTGTGTACAATTGCATATGCA